TACACGAATCATTGCTATATGCATGAAAATTGGTTTCCTTTCCAGCTAGGCTGACCCCCCTGGGCTCCCGGTCTACTAGGCACTATAGCCACAAGTTCTCTTCTCGCTTAACACTACGTTGGCGTGTAACAGTCGGAGAGCCTGGTCGGTGGAACTAGGCACATTGATTATGCAATGTTGACGAATGCTAGAGTAACTGGCACCTTGTGTAGTTAATAAGTACATAACCTTATAGCCAAACGCGTATTAGTTTGTCCAATATCACTGCTGGTTACATTACAAACAAGACTTGAAATCGGTTGTTGATATGTATCAACGTATAATTTACGTGTCGTAAATGTCATCAAGGAGTCAAGCGATGACGTAAACATTTGTGCGAGCGTCCATGTTTACGAAATCACTGATGATAGCATTGCGTACGGCCGAGCATGCGTGCGAAAATGTCCGGTGCACTATAAATCTGTATCACACCCCCTTCGCCGGCAGCGGTTTGAAACTGTAAACAACTGATTTTTGGACTGCGGATTTTAATTAGACATTTCTTAGTAACCAGCAGTGATATTGGACAAACTAATATGCATTTGGATGTAAGGTTATGTATTTATTAACTACACAAGGTGCCAGTTACTCTAGCATTCATCAACATTGCATAATCAATGGGCCTAGTACTTATGCCTTTAAATGTTCGCTTATATGTTGCATAAATATTTTGCAGAGAAATTTTGATTATAATTTAAATGTTCAGATGCACCACTGATTTGTTATTCGGTAGCAGCACGTTTGTTGTACAGTAAAACTTGCATAAGTCGTCATCGTCTAACTCGTCAATTCACATAAGTCGTCATGGAAGTCAAAGTCAAAGTCCCAATTTTCTCTCATATTAAATCCATTGGAATAGCCCTTTCTAAGTCGTCATTTATAAGTCGTCATTATGTACAAGTCGTCGCCCTCAGACAGGTCCCATGTAATACAAACAACAGTTATTTCCCATCTGTAAGTCGTCATCAGAAATGCCGATGGCGCAGTGTACGGTCTAGGGGATGTGCGAGCTTGCTGTCGCAAATATGCGCTTAGGTTGAACCATGGTCGAACCGACGATTGCCTGTTGATCGCGCAACTGAGTTTACCTGAGTTGTTGCTGTGTGCACTGATTTTTTCATTCGCATTGTTCGCTTGGACGCATTGTGTTTTTTCAGCTCGCATGGAAACAGTCGCGTCGCGTCGCAAAAGTAGTTCATGTAGATATAAAGCCTGGCAAAATATCAGCTTGACACTCTCTAAGTCGTCGAAATACCGGATTTGTAAATTGTCAAAATGACGATATACGCGAATAAGTCGTCATTTGGGCGACATACGTCGACAAAATGACGACTTGCGCGTATGTCGTCATTTTTGTAAGTCGGCACAAATATGCTGGTCCCAAAAATGTTGATTTACAGGAATTTTACTGTATAATAATTAATGTGTAATAGTACGGACAAACATGTGGTGGTAAAATTGTTGAAGGGTTATGGAATCTCATTAAGCAGATTGCTCACGCATATTGTCCTTACTTTCCATATTTACTTTGCAGCATGGAAGTGGTGCAGATCTCTGCATGCTGCTAGTGGAGGCACTGAACAAGTCTGCTATGCCTGGCAGTGATGAACTTTTCGGTATGTGATTGCGTGTAGCTGTCGAAAGTTAACAAATGGCATTCGCTTTTATCTTCCTAGTCTCACCTGAGAGCAAAAATATCACAGATTTTATGTAGTAACAGCAATGCATTTTATCGTGTCGCGACAATGCCTAATGGCAGAATTGGTAAACTTGTATTTGTGTCTGTGATGAATTGAAAACAAGTGCGTGCTTGTACTGTGGGTATGGCAGATAAGCGGTGGTGCCACAAGCTAATCCATACTTCCTGTTAGTTCAAGATGACAGAAAACGAATGTTTACAAAAACGATTAGTTCGAAACTGGCAGTTTTCGGTGAATACGAAGGTTCTAAGACATTTTATTGTTACTCAAGCAATAACATTAGGTATCATGAAAGTGGGGAAAACACCGGAAAATTCTCGCAATACACGCTTTAATACAGTGAGTGATATAAGTGCAACCAGTGGCAGGCCGTCTATGACATCATGGCAGTAATGTCTTGTTTGCTATATAGGGCACATGATGGGATTTATTGTTAGTACTTATTGAAGTTAACGTGTGTGAGTTATTCTTGAGAAATCATCCTTTTTAATTTTTTTATTATGTCAGACAAGATAGCAACACTATTTACGCTCCTTGATGCTGGTTCTTTGGAACGTCATCCCTTTGTATCAACTGCATTGAATTGGACAGGAAAAGGAAGACCAGAGGATGGAATGAAACTCCACCAGGTCCTTGCTATTGCGTTATGGAAAGGTAAAAAAAATCACAAACATATGTATACATTTAGATAATCTCTCCTAATCACATTATTGCTGTATAAATTAATGGAAATGATGTTTAGCATGCACCAGGGTGTTAGCCAGGAAAAAAATCAGGGAGTCTCACCATCTGAGCGAAGCAAGGATGCTGCAGGCTCGAAGCACCCTTGGGGGGGGGGTAAAATTGCATGCAGGGGTAAAATTGGGCCGCCATCATGGTGTCTCTATCAAATTTCATCTGTCTCATCCAAGAATAGGCCGGTCAAAAGACGGATAGACGGGCCTCTGGCTAATACACTGGAATGCACATATTTACAATAGCAGCACAAACCCAAATTGCATGACCTGCAACAGTGGTAGCAGATTAGAAGGATAGTGCTGTAAACTTCTCGCATCTTATGTCTATCGTGCGATATGTAATCAGGGAGGCATGTTGCCTACATTGCCTGTTCACCATATAGTGGACAATAAATATATTGCGTTGTTACTGCGTTGCAGAGAAAAACTATTCAATGTCCCGGTATCATTTTCTCCGATCATCGGATGGCGAAGGATGTGCCAAGATGCTTATAGAATTTTCTGTGACTCGTGGCTACCCTAGTGAATTCGACCTATTTATCACTCAGGCAGTATTGCAGTAAGTTTAATAGCAATATATCATGAGCGTAATGAATGGTAAGATATCTTCTTATAAGATGATGTGTACACAATATTGAAAGGATAGCAATGTCCAAATATAGTTAACATAAAACTATGGGTTTTCTCATTTCATCTCCTGGAATATTTTATGCCATATGTAGGAGCTCGGAAATCCCCTTTATTTGCACTTTTAAAATGCTGCCAGGAATACGTGATATAGAGAAGAGTATATCCCACACAATAAATGAAAATTCAACATTTGCATGTGTTGGTCTACCAATGACTAGTTACAGGAAACTCAATAAAGTTACATCAGAAGTAGCATTGTGAGTCCAAATTCCATTAAGTCTTTACTTTGTATATATATAGTTATACCTCTCTCTACTATGGCGATATGGCTTCTAACACCAAACGTGGTTTAACGCTTTTGTCTAGTCGTACAGCAAGCATTCTTGGCCAACCATGCCCTTTGTTTTATGCATTGCATACTGGTTTCAGGTATCTATGCCTTCGGAATAAGTCGACTGCCAACAGAGTGTTTAACATTTACATGGAACGCCATCCTTCTGTGGAGACAGGACCTCCATTTAAACACACGCCTTTGCTCAACTTTCTCTGGTTCTTACTGCTGGCAGTAGAAAAGTAAGAGTGCCACACTAGATGTGCAGTCTGGATCATGGACTCTAGAGAGGGGTTAGGTGGTTAGTAATATATTTAAAGGTGTTAAAGTTATGTAGTATTCATGACCAGGGCATTGTCTTTTAGCTTCATGACTATTCATTGCAATGTTCTTGTTATCTCAGTACAGATATTAGATGGATTGCTTTAATTCTGGATTTCTATACGTGACTGCACAATAAAATTTCAATTTTCAGAGGCAAGCTGGCAATATTCACTGTACTGTGTGAGCAATACCAGCCATCAATTAGACGAGATCCATGTTACAACGAGGTACTGTATTCACATTCACGTTCCATTTCCTTTGTTTCTTTTCAACAAATAAATGAATGGGAAAAAATGGAAAAAAAGAAAAAAAGTGCAATTCACGTACAAACCAACTGATGATTACCGGGATCATAGACGACATATTTAGAGTCGCATTATAGATACTGTCTCTGCCCAGCTCGTATCTCTCCACAGCCATGTCTCTGCCCAGCTCGTATCTCTCCACAGCCATGTCTCTGCCCAGCTCGTATCTCTCCACAGCCATGTCTCCTGCCGCAGCTCGTATCTCTCCACAGCCATGTCTCTGCCCAGCTCGTATCTCTCCACAGCCATGTCTCTGCCCAGCTCGTATCTCTCCACAGCCATGTCTCTGCCCAGCTCGTATCTCTCCACAGCCATGTCTCTGCCCAGCTCGTATCTCTCCACAGCCATGTCTTATATTTGATGTGAAGACCATCATGTGTTATCGGTTAAGAATATCAAATATTGTTCGGTACCTAAACCAAATTTTAAACATTTTATTAGATCTCTGTGTGGTCAATATACATCTTTTTTTCATTTATTTATAGTATTTGGATCGAATTGGACAACTTTTCTTTGGTGTTCCACCTCCAAGACGACCCACCGGTGGAATATTTGGTGAGTATACCACAAGCGTTAGGAGAAGCTGTTGGCATGCTGTCATTAAAACCAACACAGTGGTAGTTGCATTGTTGAAACATCTGTAGCAGCATCTGAGTGGCTTTAAGATATAAATTTGATAGCACTCGCTGATATATTGAGGTATAATCGTGGTATCACTGGCTATTGCATTACATATAGATATGTTACCACTTCTTATTCTTTAGGGTATGAATATGCTACCACTTGTTAATACTGTTTTCACATAAATGATAGATACTGTCCCAATGCTGGGCATATAAGAAAGCATCCACTGTATTGCAGGTAATCTACTTTCAAGTATAATGGGAGGCCTGGACGATGATGATGGTGATGACATGGATGTGTCCGTGCCAACTACTTCAGAAAGATCTGCGGTTGCATCTAAACGATTAATAACGGAAGATTTGGATTAGCCAGATCACTATCCGTTCATACGCAATCCAGGGGAGTTGTACATTGGGCACCTATTTATATAGAGTGGATGATTACTTCAAATGGTCACCTATATTCCATTTGGAAGCAGCAACAAGCATACAGTTGAATGCATATCGAGAATATTTTGCATTTTTACTGTGTTCGCGTAGATTTTACATGATGTTCTATAAGGCAATCTCTTTCCTTCCTAGGCTGCTTCCAGTTCTGAACTGGGGGATGGACTGCTATTACCAATACCACAGTAAATGCATGACATACATTTCTATCAGTGTCAGTGGAACTTTTTCATATTTTTGTGTCAGGCTGTGGCCTAATATGCAGTATGGCTGGCGCAACAAGGCAAATGCGATTAAACCGAGTAATGATGGCCTACTCTCTTGCTTATATATCAAACACATGCCTTTTTTTTAAACCAACGCGATCAGGAATAAATAAAACGGAATGTTTCTGTGATGTGAACATGTAGGTGTGCAGCGCCATCTATTGGTGCTTAACGTTGACAACGCAGCGTGAATCGTTTGATAGTCGCCAGTCCTCTTCATTTTCTGTTTACACAGCAAAGACAAAGGGGCCGAGTCATTTGGAAATGTCTATATTCAGGCCGGTACGGGAGATTACGGTACGCATATATTTGCTAATATATTGACTAATCGTGCGTCAATAAACTCAATATTCACAGAGAGTATAGCTAAGACATGTGTCTATAGGTATCTAGAATTTTATAAATTTAATCATCTGTAATTCACTTCCGCGCGCATATATTTGCTATATTGACTAATCGTGCGTCAATAAACTCAATATTCACAGAGAGTATATGAATTCAAGCCGGTACGGGAGATCATTTGCATAATATATTCTAGATACCTATAGACACATGTCTTAGCTATACTCTCTGTGAATATTGAGTTTATTGACGCGCGATTAGTCAATATATTAGCAAATATATGCGTACCATAATCTCCCGTACCGGCCTGAATATAGACACTCCCGAGTCATTTGCGTGTATTCTACCCATGACCTGTGGCCTATTGAAAAGGGTGGTCTAACGCGTGCTGTAAGGATTTTATACTCGGTCAGAGTTCCACACATTCTGGCTCACAGCTGCCCATGTATGAGAAAGGAAGAGTGCAGTATTGCTTACTGCTTGCATTTCTCTGTGAAAAATAGCACTTGAAGACAGCGAAATGTAAAAAGAAAATTGTATTCATGATCAGCTGTGTGCACCACACGCACGGGATTGCACTTCACTGTACCGATCCTGGAGTCTGAATATTTAATTCATAATTTTGCACTAAGCATCACAGGCATTAATCATGTCTTGTAATGATTCGTTGGTGGCGTAGCTACGTTTGATGGGGGGGGGGAGCTGCAAAGCCTCTTGTTGTTTGTTTTTGACACTTGACTGTAGGCAGTTCGCCACTGGCCATGTAATATTATCTAGATTTGTCAGGCTGTACAACTGCTTCCCAACACTACCACTAGCTATACGTCCCTGTACCATATATATATGTGACCTAGGTGGTTTAACGGAGTAATGCGCATCATCTTCAATGTATAATGTCCCTCATTTGCTTTATGAGTTTCCCCTTTTTATGCGTCCTAAATCTCACAATTCACGTACCTGTCTCTTCAATCTGACGCTTGTGCACTATTTAATGATTGATGGGTTGAAATTAGTTTTGCTACACAATCCAGTGGGTAAATCGCTACTTGTTTGCGCCAACTTGTGGTGGGGACAAAATTGACGGAGATTGCAGTATGGACTTCATTCGTGAACATTGAGATTTTAAATGGAGATTAGAAATCTATCTACCATCTACCAACTACTGCTCCCTAAAATTAACTGGGACAGAATTTCATGTAGAATCCTCACGGATACAGATGTTGTACGCCGTTTGTTAGCCTTAGAGTAATAAGTCAAATGACGTTTCCTGTGTGAATTCTAAGTTAGAATGCATTGAGATTGCTCGTGAAATTTCTTGAAACTGAAAATGAAGTGCAGCGTGTTAGGCTTCACTTTGCTCGTGCTATATGCATGTGCACTATTGTCGATTGTGCCATCGTGTTTGTTGGGTGATATGCATGCTAGTGGTTTATGAGAGCAGTATACCGATTGCTGGAACCCTTCTACTCCTGTTTATAGATTGTTATTATAAACTCAAAAATATAAACTATGATTCGTTATCTGTTCATGTGCGTTTGACGAAGGGGATAAAATATATAGTGTGTTAATCTGCACACAATAAACAATCGCTTAGTTCATTCGGCTTGCTTTTTTTCCCACGAGCCGCCTTAGACGATGAGCTATGTAATCAGGGAAAGACCGTAGAAATCGTAGCCCGAATTATTCTTTATTATACCGGGTATATAAATGAATTGACAATTTATTGGGCTGCGATTTCTATGGGTATAGCCTAAAACGCGCTTGAGCCAGATATAGTTTGTTTTATATGTGATTTTGGTAGTTATTTTATAACGCGCATAAAATTTTGCGCGAAGATTACATACTACATAGCATGCAGAAACCAAAAACCAGCATGTAAATACAAAAAAATACCGTGTAAATTCATCACATATGCTCTTTGATTTTTTCCTATGACCCAAAAGAAATGTCGGTGACTCGGTGTGTATATTGTGGCTAGAAATTATTGCGATATCTACTGCAATCTGCAGTGTTGATCAACTTTCTTTTTGTTTTCTCCTATGCTATAACGTTATAAAAACGGAAGGACGTGTAATGTATGGAATCAGAAGTGACCATGTGGAAACAGTAAATATATCCCAAAAAAAGTAGTAGCGCAGTCGACAGGATTCGAACCTGTGCGGGGAGACCCCAACTGATTTCTAGTCAGTCGCCTTAACCACTCGGCCACGACTGCTGTACGACAGTATTACTAATTGCATGCTGTAGTGTTGGTGTGCCTATTTCTTTTATTATCAAGTAATGCTTTTATATTATAACTGATGTCATACGGTGATCAGCAATTTTATTTATGCCATGGATTGGAACCAATATACTGGAAGACCAATATACTGACTGTAATGGTATTCATTCGCATAATTAAATCATTGTTGTCATCGTAACCACTTACACGAGGCATAACAATATGGCAGCCCCTACTGTCGAAGTCGTTGAAGACGATTTGTCTGAGGTTTCAGCTAAATTATCGCTTCTACTTAATAGATTGCGTGATGTAGATCGAGTAAAAAGACGCAAGGCCTTAGAGGAGATACGGAGTGAGCTTTTTAGTGATAAATATTCTTCTAACACGGCAAAGTTAAATAAAGTGTACGGAGATCTTTCCCGGCCATTATTGAAATGTTTCTCTGATCCAGTAGAGAAGTGCAGAGCGCTATCAATACAGCTCGTACTTGATATTATACAGACAACGCAGACGCCGAGTGAGCTTCTTCCTTATCTTGTACCAACCCTGGTTGAACGGCTGGGAAATAATAATATTACAGAGTCGGCGGAAGAGCTTCGCCTTGATCTCGTAAACCTTCTTGCAATAGTTATTACACTGTGTAACAAAGCGTTCGTCGTGTACATGGATGAAGTTGTGCAGATCCTTCAGAAGACTATAGTGGATCCATTTCCAGACGTCAGGTTGAAAAGTTGCAAGTGTGCTTCTGATCTGTCACAAGTTATACCAGCACAGCATTTTCACATGTGCTCAGAAAACTTCGTACCAGCGCTTCTGAAAACACTATCTCATCAGCACTCCAAAGTTAGAATAGTGGCAATTCAGGCTATAGGTATGGCATATACTGAAAAATATTTCAGCATTTTGTGGTGTGTAACTCTTTGACTGCCAGACCTTATGCATGCAGCATGAAAGTAACTGCCGCTGAGAGGGTCTATGTCCCTCGGGGTACTGCCGGAACGTACCCTGGGTACGGTCCAGTATACCGGACTGTACCCTGGTAATATCTATTATGCCGGACCGTACCTCGCCTACTCCACTAACGAGTCTAGGGAGTCGCCTACGCCTACTCCCTAACCCTAACCCTAACCCTAACCCCAACCCTAACCCTAATCCTAACCCTGACCCTAACCAGGGTTCTCTCCAGGATGAAATTCAAACAGGGGGAGGGGAGGGGTAGGGGAGGGGGGGAGGGGGAGGGGGAAAACTAGGGGGGTCCGGTGGGCGTGTATTTTTACCGTACGACTAATTAATGCGTAAAATCGCCACCACACCATAGACGGTATTTGGGGTTCTTGTATATATAAGATAGCCGAGTCGGTGTACAGTTAGTTACAGGTTAACTGTGCATTGTCAGGTTAACTTGTGTACTGTCTGCAGTGCATGCGTAGTACGGTAAAAATACACGCGTCGGGTGTCCTGGTCGAACGGCAATTCTTGACGGTCGATTCCCGCGCTGGCAAACTTTTATTGTGGTGGAATTTAAACGGGGCGGAGGTAATTCAAACGGGGCTCAACGATTCAAACAGGGGGGAGTTTTCCCAAACGGGGCGCGTGCGCCCCGTTTGCGCAACGTAGGGAGAACCCTGCTAACCATATCAAATAATGACCAGGGTACGTTCCGCTATACCGGACCGTACCCAGGGTACGTTCTGGCAGTACCCTGGGGGACATAGACCCTATGAGCGTAACTGCCACTGCCAGAGGTTTTCTGCCTTTTTCAATTATTTCTAACAAAATTGAGATAATTATTCAATAGGCAAATATAGCATATGGAAGAACAAGACTCAAACTTTCTAATGATACCAAATGTTTATTGATTTAAAAAAGACAAGATAATCCTCTTTAATCTCAAAAATACAACTATTTTCAACTTTTTGGTTGAAATTCACTAAAAAGTGGAGAAAAACTAATTTGAAAATGCAAGTCTCTTTTAGAGTCAATCTCACTACTAGGTGGCGTATTTCTTTATTCCTATGGGCAAAACATATATTCTAGATACCAAATAACATCTCTATCTAGTATAAATATATACATATAGTATATATAGTACTATAATAGTAGTGTTGTCAATCGGTTGTAATTTTGTAATTGATCATCGGTTGGACCCAATACTTTATGAACTAATCTTTCGTGTTGTGAAATAAAATCCGATTGACAGAAATTTCCATCTTTGGCAGTCAAGCGATTTTTTACCAAATACGGAAATCTGCGTCTTTGGCAATCAGAGTGTTAATGTTGTATGCACAAGGTATTGATATAGTTGTAAATCATTCACGTGCACGTTTGATTGTAGCTCTAGTACTATAGCCCTTCGCTCCGCCACAGCTTCTGCTGATGCAGCCTGCGGCGGAGCGAAGGGCTATAGTACTAGAGCTAGTTTGATTGCTGTATTACCTAACTTGCAGAATTTATTTTCTGTTATATACTGCATTTTACAGGGGATGTAATTAATCATGGAAGTAGTAAATGTGTCGAGGATGTAGTTCCACACCTAGCCCAGAGATATTTTGATCAGACACCCCAGGTATTTATTCTGTAGCAGGCATGTGTAGTTAGTACTATATAACATGTGCATTCCACTTGAAATAACAGTGCATAGAAATACTAATAATTTATCAGTTATTTAACACTTATTTGAGGATTTTCAAATACTAGAATGAAAGACTTATGCATGATTAAATAAAAATATTGTTATGTCTATCAGAAACGAATTTGCAATGATTTAAGGTGCGGCTGGCTGTGACCCAGGTCATCGGTATGTGGTTGCTTGAACTCCCAGACAGATATTCCTATTTCTGCAAGCTTCTTCCACTTCTTTTAACCAGCATCACCGACGATGTTCCAAAGGTAATAATATTTCATTGCAGTTCACAATATTTTGGCAATGTGGTATCAAATCTCTTAACTACAAAGAAGCCTTCTTAGAAACGAATCAGTTTTACTTTTCTATTAATAGATTCAGCAGACCGCAGATGAGCTATGGTCTAAGGTTGGTTTTCAATATGAGAAGGAAAATGATCAGGACTTCAAAGATCGACTAGACTTCGTCACACAGCAACCACCTCACTATCCATGTGATGGTTAGTAAAAATGCTTATTACAATATTTTTCGATATAGTGTGTGATATAAAGGTGCAATAACCTTATTAATCAATTTGTACTGTAATTATTTAAATGGGAAATGATTTTATAGTTTCTTGCAGTAGAGTGTAACTTCTTGTGAATGTGAATCCTTGTGGCTGGATGCATGCTATGTTGTGGTGTCTTTAGTGGCATGTAGTTCATAACAAGTTCTACATTAAACTTGTTGTAAGCTCTCACTCGTAATTTTGCAGTGGTGAGACCTAACCTTGGCTGCAGGGAGCTTGTCTACCGTCACATGTCGAGGATCTTGCCCGCATTGCTGCGTGACCTCACAGACTGGGTAGCAGCCACCAGAGTAAAAGCTGCAGCACTGCTCTATGTTCTGCTATTGAATGCCGAGGACAGGATGACTCAACACCTGGAGTCTCTACTCAGGGGCCTGTATTCAGCATGTGGCGATGAAGAGACGAGCGTGGTGAATCATGTGAGTCTGTTAACATTTGTACCAGTGCCATTTGAAACGTCTGCAAAAACAGTAAGCTTGAACCCTTCTATAGGCATCTGACTTGTCCAGCGTGAATTTAATAAATAGTAGTGTACGTAAACTTATTTCTACAGCTTAATCATTTTGTACATGTGGTTTATTCCTAAAGGCAATAACTAAAAGTATTTCGTTGCAAAACTTTGTTTGGACCCAAGGAATTTGCTGAGACTATGGCACTGTAATGATATGTTATCAAGTGCTAAAAATACCAATATAATATGTTAATAATGTGTTATGAGTAGGTATTATTAACTGTTAATGTTATCAAGAGTAGATAATAACACATGTGTTATTATCTACTCTTGATGTTATTTAAAACACTCCCCCACAATGACTTACATTAGCTTGTCTCGGTACAAAGGGACATATATATGGTATCACACAGCATTCTGCGATTGGCATGACATGTTTCGCATCCTTGCATGTTGTTAGGTTATGAAGAGTGCGAGGTTGGTCGGCTGCTTTGTGCCAGCAGATGCCTGGTGGCATCTCATGATGGCGGATCTTGAAAGCATCCCAACAGCGAATCACGTCATGACACTAACGGCCATCGTGGAGGGATGCAATCGCAGTTCACTGCGGCCGCATTTGCCTGCTATTGCAGATGTCCTTGCAGCAGACGACGTGTGCAGGATGCAGGAGGTAGCTCGGAAAATTTGTGCACACCGATCATTCGCTGATACATTTTTGCTGATTAGTGCGTAACAACCAATACCGTCACAAGTGTATTTCAATGTTGTTGTTTTTTCCTGATAAACAAATTGTGCACATTGCTTTGCAGGTGAGATTCCAGCAGCACCTGGTGAGCTGTATAAGAACTGTATTGAATGTGAGCAAGGACGATTGCTCAAGCATCAGTGCACAGCTCTTCAATGCCATACTATCATTGCTGCCGCTAATCGAAAATGAGTCCAGCAACAAGCAGGTGGGAAGAGATGTCTGGCTACCCATGCATTAATTATGCAAACTGAAGTGTCCATCTGAATGTACTCACAACTGAGTGGTCTGTGTGGTGGAAATTCAAGACTTAATTAAATATGTATAATAACCATGGTTATATTAAGAGCGAGGTGTTTGTTAGTAAGACATGTAACTTAATTTGGCGTTGTTGAAATGAAACTAGGAATTGACAACGTGTCTTTGAAACATATATGCATCCTGTAGTCCTGTATACTTTCTGTATAGTACTGCTGGTACTTTCTCTGCAGGCACACGAGGCAATGCTGGAATTGGCCAAGGTGCAGGGATTTACGGACCAGTGGCACTTGATGGAGCTACACATGCCTGATGTCCTAAATAATCTTCATGAAACCTGCAATGGCTGGAGCAGCATTAGCCATGAAGCAAAGGTTTTCACCACACTTGTGACAGAATCGGGTACGAAGCGCTTACTCAAAAAACTACAGTAGTCATTGAATCTTAAGCACTACTAAAATGGGCCAGTACAGACTCTTTTGAATTTTCGATGGCATTTGTTGCATTCAGCAAAAGTGAAATTGTTTGTTTTTGTGCTGATTAGTAATTTGTTGTTATTATTATTAGTAATGAATTGAATAATAATAATAATAATAATAACTTGTAATATTGATAATGCACATTGCATGTGGAACAATGTAATTATGAGTGATATAATACTTTCATAGGACCTGTAATTGGCAAGCATCTCAACGTGGTTATCTCCATTTTCGAGATTACCCTGAGCAAAGAAAAGGAAGCAGAATTGAGGCTGAAGCTATTTTACACGCTCGCAGAGCTCATGGTGAATGCAAAGTACACTCTTGATTCTGAGGGTATGTGGTTTGTCATGTGCTAGTTTCAGTGATACCAAGCTCTACCACCACCTTTTTTTCACATCCCACAAACGTGCGAATTTGTGTAATTTCCACTTGTCTTTTCCATGTCAGTTCTGATTGCATTCACCCCGGCAAAAATCAGAAATACAATGTACTATTATTAACTTTTCCTAATGGTATATAAACTGTGTATTTCAATAAGGTAATGTAATGCAACACAATGCTAAAAATGAAATGCAACATAATAGGACATAACGTACACACAGACATTCCGTTAATAGTATAATTATATAAATGACGTGATGAGGACCTATACCTTACTTGTCTGCACTGCTATTTTACTGCAGGCATGTTTGCCAAGTATGCTAGCAAGCTTCTCAACTCAGTGATCGTACCTAACTGCTCGTGGCAGGCGGGTAGAACAGCAGCTGCTATCAGGACCACTGCCGTGTCGTGTCTGTGGGTGCTGTTCCAATCTGGTGCTGTCACACCACAGCTGGTGAGCATGAACGTAGCAGCAGGATCATGAATGTATTAATTAAGCTCGCCACACATGCATGTTAAATGTGCAAATATTTACGTGGTGGTGCCAAATTTTCATCAAGTTATATTACTGCAGTGCTCTTGTTATAATTGTCATTATCGTCGTTGCCGTCATCGTCATTGTTACCCATGTTTTTGTCGTTATCATCACTACTGTTGTTGCCATCTTCATTACTCACTACTCAGCTGACGAAGTCGGATGCAGCTTGTAGAATTGCATGAATATCCGTCCGTCCGTCCGTGCGTTCGTCCGTCTGTGCGTCAACAGTTGGGCACAAATCTTAACAGCTCGACGTACGGTCACGATATTCGGGATGCCGGGGGAGGGGGGGAGGTGAATTGCGAAAAGGACTCGGTATGTCGAATTTGGGGGTCAAGGGTCAAGATGTGTCAATGGAGGGGGAATATTTCTCCCTTAACTTAAGGTATAGGATGAAATACGTAATTGCGGCACAAATCTCAACGGCTCGACCTACGCTCTTAATATTCGATGTATAGTGTGATGGGGAGAAAACCCATCACCAGCGCGAATTGGCGGTCACATGTCAAAGGGCAGTGGGGGAAAGGTCAGGTATCAGATATTTTCTGAGGACATGGTCTAAGTTAACGGACCGAGTACAAAACTTTTTTGTTTCAGCGCTGACCTACCATTTTTATCACTTTATTGAAAGGACCATGAAATCAGAAGTAGATAATAGGGAAGGAGTGTGACTTCAATAAACATGGGAAATTCGTCATTTACTAGCCTTAGAATACCTACGATTTACTACGCGTAACTCAACCAACTTGAGCTCAAATTGTACACAGTACATTCGCCTAGCATCGAGCGAAATCATTTCCTCGTATACACCCGCAATCCGGAGATACCGCCTAAAACGTATGACACGATTCTCCATTCTGTTGGCAGCAAAACGAATCCATAACCCGCCTAAATGGAAACAATAGGCAGCTACTAACGACTCTTGTGCCCTCGGCGATGCGGTGTGGCTCGCTGGGAGATTGGAGCTGGAGCTGCTGCTGATTGCGGTAGGCGTACGTGCGTGGGGGGCATACCAGCTGTAAATAGGTCAAAGATTAGCTCGCCGAGTGTTGCGTCGATGTCCAATCTCCCAGCGAGCCACACCACATCGCCGAGGGCACAAGAGTGCGCAAGTCGTTAGTAGCTGCCTATTGTTTCAAGTTATGCGGGTTATGGATTCGTTTTGCTACTAACGTTTTAGTCTGTATCTCCGGATTGCGGGTGTATACGAGGAAACGATTTCGCACGATGCTAGGCGAATGTTCTGTGTACGATTTGAGCTCAAGTTGGTTGAGTTACGCGTAGTAAATCGTAGGTATTCTAAGGCTAGTAAATGATGAATTTTCCTTGTTTATTGAAGTCACACTCCTTCCCTATTATCTACTTCTGATGAAATGTACTTTCCGCTGACGTGCGAAGAGTAAGTGTCCGATAACCTTTTGACCCGCAAGAGGAGGGTTAAACATGGATTTGTTGACTGTTAACAAAGGATTGAACTGCTTTTGCTACTAGAGCCCCCTCTACCCCCCCCTCCCCCACCCTCCCCCACCACCACCACCACTACACTCGGGCTCGACGCATATTCATGATAACATGTTAATATACCGAAGTCATTAAAGTTACACAGCTGTATCTTTATTACTGTACTACCGGTATAGCAAAGCCTAGCATAGATTTTAGATCTGTATTAGTAGTATCCTAGATATATTCTCTGAGCGCGAATGCGGTGGCGGGAGGGCGCACTTGATTCGGTTGCCAGTGAGTTTATCAGAAGAATACCCGCCTACAGTACACATCAGTTGAGTGCTGTTGCTCTGCGGCACTTGTTACTACCGTTGTCATCATCATTACTAGTGCCGATGTAGATGTCACGTACAAACATCGTATACACCAGCAGCACTAATACGTGATGTTTGTGCGTTGTTGCAGTATCTACGTCATGCCGACGCTCTGCTCCCGCAGCTGACCTCGCTGCTGGAGGACGACAGCCGCACGACGCGTCTGCTCGCTAGCCGCGTCGTCAAGCAGACGCTCAACCTGTGCGGCGACGCGTTGCAGATGGACGCGCTACTCGGCATCTATCCCACGCTGCTGAAGCGCATGGACGATGTCAGGTATCGTGTCGACGGCATGTCACAGTCGTTTAAAGTTTGCAGCCTGATTTCTAATGCCTGTTGTCACTGTTATGGTGTACATATCCGTATGGAAAAGGTTACTGGGTTTGCCCGGACACCAGGGGCCCGTTGTCGGAGATGATCAAAAGTTATGACTATTGTACATTGTATTACCGTGTCCTGTAGTGTGTAATGCTACATGTGTAAGGAGATGCTTATGTATTTGCTGGTTGCTTTCAGTGATGAAGTGCGTGAAGCTACACTGAAAACCTTTGCAGCCTACTTTTCAGCGCTGGATAGAAGCCTCGACGTGACTCTACACAGTGCGCACCTGGAGCTGCTCTACTCTGGCTTGTTGCTACACATGGACGACAGTAGTGCACTTATACAACAATCTGTCTTTGGTAGGACTTCCCAATTTAACATCAGCTTGCACAAACATGACACCGATTTATGTTCAACCAAGTGCCTGTCCTAACAGATCTGTTATCAGATCAAGACCCTAACCCTGTCGTGATATTGATAACAACATCTTTTATTGTGGTTTTATGCTGAATTGTTGGCAGCACGCATGTAGTCGGTCATTTGAACATGTAAATTAGCACTGGTGGGCTGTATGTTAGGATATATGGTCGCTATAATTATGTCCTATAGGCCTATGTGGTAGAGTAAGGACTTCACATTAGAACAGTAAAATAATGACTATCGTTACCACCCTACTTCTCAACTGCAGGTAGTATATTTAACATAAGGTAGGATGTTTTGCAACAGATGAATTTTACACCAGGTAAATTCTTTGTATCAGGTAGTGTTTCCCAGCAAGTAGGCTTAGGGTGGTTTTATGCCAGGTAACGTCAGTTGCACCATCTAGGGTCGGTTGCACCAGCTAGGGTAATGAGTAGCGCAAAATAATCAGTAACTTGACGAGCATCTCATCTCCTTTATAGAGGTTCTGAAGCAGGCTGCAGCCATCAGCCCTGCATTGCTCGGCCAGCAGGTGGAGAAGATTAAACACATGCATCAAAGGAAGCAATACTGCGATGAACTTCTTGCCCACATCAAAACGTTGCTGTGACCGAGGTGTTCCAGGGCTGAGTCAGCTAGAATTCGTGTGGACACGCTTTCTTCTCTGCTAACGTGTAATCAACCTGTAGTATTACGTTTGTAACGCAAAAACAATATGTTTATTGTATATTGCTTTTGTTCATTGTTTGTACAACGCTGCAAAACAACGCTTACTACACACGCACATAGATATTGAGAGAGGGGAGAGAATAGATAGATATATTGACCATGTTGACTGATAATTATATCTTCTATTACACTGTTACATCTGTTGATTATATGTCGATGTAATTGATGTATGAAGGCCTGTGCATCACAGCTGTCACACCATGAGTGCTGGGACAAATCAAAGCTAAGAGAACAGTCTTTTTCATGAACTACAAAACCTCAATACCCTATAATTTGTTCCCTATAAAATGTAACAAGTGAACATACAACAATAACAGTCTTACCGTAACATGAATTTTGTTGCGATATATACCCCACACAAGCATCGCAAATCATGACTCACATTTATATGGTAGAATATAAGAGACCACAGCAGAATAGCATAGTAACATGCAGAGGAAGTAGGAGGGAAAGTAGCTTTAATATAGCAAACATTAAGACAGGGATAAGAAGAACTTGCATAGAAAACATGGAACATTACTTGAACTATTGTTGTTTGAGCATGGTCGCGATATGCCCATCTATTCACACAGCCCCACCACGCCATAATTACAGTAAAACTAAAATCATAAATGCTTTCAAACAATTGGTGTACGCACCTGCAAAGTACGAGTTGATAAAAAAAAACTACATCAGTCAATGTCCTTATGACTTTTACTATGACACTCGCTTCTGCAACTCTGTGCGGAGTAAGTGAGCATTCTTGGAAACTGTAACGGCTAGCCAGTGACGACGTTTCGTTTGCGTGTCGCAAACGAAAAACATGCAATACTACTTAACAAACGCAAATGTGAAAGATTTAGGTTTCAGTATTTACAGTTTAGTATCACGATAGCAGTAAGGACGCATACAAACGAGTCATTTTTAGTGCATATAATGCAGGAACTACTCGTCTTAACCGAACAATAGCATGCACACATACAATACTAAAAAATATAAACCTGCCAATCTTGGCACAGCCTAGCAAAACCATGCCTTTCTACATATAGACAGGCATCTCTTTGCTGAAATACGTAATCAGTTGGACTACACAGCGAGCTCATAGCTACTGCTGTAGATCGTTCAACATTTTTTCCTTATCTAAGGGGTACCCATCACAGAGACCTGCTTTCTCTGCATGCTCTGTGACTAGATATCCACATTATAGAAATGCACATTCTGGTATGAAGTTGCCGCTGCATAATATGTGTGCGTTTGCCTCGTCACTGAGAACAAGAAATGTCGATGCCGGCACATCACTCCCGATTTGGAGCACAGAAAATATCAAATTGCACTGATTGGGTCACATAAGATCCATTTTTAAATGCAAACCACATGGATACGCGTAACAAAGCGTATTTCCGTGGTGAACAAGTACTAGTCATATATATATCAATTACACAAACTTTCTTTCGTAAAAAAATAAAGTCCCTGCAAAACAGCCTTAGAGGAAAAGAACACTTCCTTCGTACCGAGATAGAATGCAGTTTACGTCACGCATAAGCTTCTTCATTCTTTTACAGAACTAGAGCAGTGTACTCCAGTGATCCTTTCATAATACCACAACATAATACTAGAAAATATGAACTCCTTAAAACACTACTGCTGCAGTCCAGTGTATACCATGATCACATCACACTTTTCAAATCAATTTGAAGCTTTGGCAAATCATATTTCATATGGTATAGCAAACTGCCAATTGGTAATAGTTGCCATAACTCGGAATGAATTGTATTTCTCAGTGACCAAATTTTTCAGAGAAAATGTTAAAAAATTTTCCCAATACTTGCTAATCGATGTCATCTAATTGCTAATCAATTTCACCTTTTGATTAGCAAAGTGCTAATCAAGTTTAAAAATCTACGGCATACACTGCTGCAGTCTCGTGAGTTATTGAGAAAGACACCCCCCCCATGCACGCGGCTACGGTTACGTCACCGCCGCGCGGGACCGGCACGCTCCCGATCTGTCGGCCGACCCTCGACGACCTTTGTTTTTGTCTCGTTGCCCGCCGTGCGGCTGCTCTTGCGCTTGCCGCTGCGAGGCCCACTGAGGTTGTGTATTTCCAACAGCGGGGTCCTGGCTGCTCCTGCTGCTGCTGCCGACGTCACACCTTTGGCAGGCGCGCAAGTCTGTGAGGCCGTGCTGTCCACGCATGCTCGCCGTTCCCACCAGGGGTCTCTCAGGTTGCAGGACGACCTCGTGACCTGCAGTCTAGGCGTGGTGGTGTGAGAGCTGCAGCTCTGCGCGATACTGGCAGGGGTAATGTGGTTGTCACATGGCTGTGGAATCCAAGTAGCGGCAGATTTCCGATTGTCCTGCAATCGCACAAAAATTTAATTGGGGACTTTAGGGTAAGCACATTTCCTGCACTTACGTATGCATATATTTGCTCTGTTTTTAGCTCATCTGACATAGTCAGATGCAGCTTGTAGAATCGCATGAGCGTGCGTCCGTCAACAGTTAGGCACAAATCTAAACGGCTCGACGTACGGATTCGAAAGTTGGGACGTGAGGGGGTAATCCGAAAACGAGTTGGGATGTCAAAGCTGGGGGTCAAAGGTCAAAGGTCAAGAGGTGTAAAAGAAGGGGTATAGGGAGGAAATGCAGAATTGCGGCACAAATCTAAACGGCTCACCCTAGGCTCGTGATAGTCGGTGTACAGCATCATGGTAGGAAACGCCATCACTGTGCCGAAATTGGAGGTCACAGGGCAGATTTTAGACATTTTCTGAGGACATGGTCTGACGGAGCGATTGAAAAACTTTTTTGTTTCAGCGGTGACCTAGCATTTTTATGGCTTTATTGAAAGGACCATGAAATGTACTTTCTGCTGACATGCGAAGAGTAATTGTCGGATAACCTTTTGACCCTCAAGAGGCAGGTTAAACGTGGATTTGTTTACTGTTACTGTTAGAAAGAATTTGATTGCGCGTCGGGTTGCCATAGTAGAATTGCTATACAGGCTGGATAGTATCGAGGCTACAATGTCACAGAATGAAATTGGGTTCAAAACAGGCTAAATTGGTTGAGAAGGTTTATGCTCCTTAAATCGTATATTATTTCTTAGTGGGCTTCGTGTTACTGTCAGTGTGTTCACAGTAAGGTATGCCACTGCCAGTGCATGTGGTGGTGGTACTGTGTAGTTTTCTGCTGTGTATAATTTGTTACAGGTGCATGCTCCTCTTTCAGCTGTAGGCCTTTGCGTAGGGTATAATGGATGAGGCTTACTATTCTAGTTTCTTGCGCACGAAGTAGTTGTTTGTGCTAGGCTAGCGTACAGATGGTGACGTTCCATCTTTTAATCTGGAAGACACTTAAAAGTACGCCGCCATCTCGTTGGGCAAACTTTCATTAACCGATCCCAATGAACATTCCTTTGAGAAGGTTCCTGCATACCATCCCTGTGCCTTCACTGTTTCGGGTGATATGGTGAAACACATTTGCGGACTTAACGATGGGGTTTGACTTAGAATTCCCACCACTTCCACCGACAGATGTCACCCGCAGTAGACGTTAGATGAAGCGCGTCCGCTTCACGGCACTTCGTTAGTAATAGTATTCATCATAATCTTATTGTTATTTAATACTATTATCAGGGAATGGAATAAAGCACAGAAAGTGCTGAGCTTTAATTATTTAAAGTCCAACACAACTAGTTAACTTACCTACGATTTATTACGTTATGCCTGAACAGACAGAGTTTGACAGCCTATCGTAACGTTCCCCCTTCACAAATCCGCAGATATAGGCTAAATCCCGGGACCGGGCACGCCGACGGTCGCGGCGCGCTGGGAAGGGCGACTGGTGTAGCTGGCATAGGGCCGCGGCATTCGTCGGAGGCCGGGGCGCACACCCGCCGCATCTCTGTCCCCACGTGGCGCGTGTGGCTCTGCGCGTGCGGTGCCCCGGGCCCCGCCTACAGCGGGCCGGCCTGTGCCGTCGGCGTCAGGGGGCGCCCACCCCCGCCGCACGCGCCCCGGCGCCCGGCGGGGGCGGGGGGGGGGTTACCACATTTTACGTGTAGAAAGTTTTTCGAGAACCGTGGCCATACGTTTTGGTCAGTATTAGCACATACCTGAGGATTGTGCATATGCCTACATTTCGTATATGATGCTATGTGAATATTTAAGGGTACTTTTTTGACGCTCAGGTTGAGGTAAACGTAAGGTTTGCGAAACGGCATAAATTTCAATAACTGAGCCTTGCACAGTGCTTTTGTTTTTTATTTCACTCCTCGATACTTATTGCATGATTATGAATTCTTTTCATTCCGATTGTTGTGGAGCTTACATACGTCAGACGGAAGGCACTGGACTCGGTTGCCTTCAATGCATGTACGGCGTGTCGCTGCAATCGTCACTATCGATGAAGAACTGTCGCTCACTGTTTTTTGCTGTTCTGAACTCCATAGACTTACAAAGCTTGCATTCCACGTTCTCTATCTTGGCATGGAACATTGGTGATTTGCAGCGTACAAAAACCCGTACGGGTATCAAGCTGGCAACGACACTACGTAGCATTTATTGTTCCCATTCAAAGGCTTGCGTGTGGTAAAATTGTAAATAAAAGAGATGAAAAACCTCGGAAGATAATACCTAGTACCTTAGTTGTATTTTTGGAATTAGCCCAAATATTAGTAATCGGTGGCAAATGGTCCACCATATCAACTCCGATTCGATCCGTTTGCAGCAGCTTGGTAAAATAATAGCTAGTGTTACCATGGTCGTGTTTTGCTCGACTGTTTCCTCCTTTCATCCTCACATCTCAATCATGTTCGAGGTGGTTCACCACGCAAGAGGGTTTTATATGGCGGTGTTATTGGGGCTCATAGCTGTCAGACAGTCATAGGGGTGATTGCTTCCATGTCAGAGCCGTATGGCCAGAGTCCGTCTGCACCAGTTAAAGCATTCAGCCTCCCAGTCGGCTTCTAAAAGAACTTTATTACATCCACCTCAGCGACCCATAACACACACCTCATTGACAAAGTGTTGTAGGTTCGGTGTCAAGAGAGGCCAGGGTTTTATACCCCATCTCTCTCACACGCATTCCATCCGCCATATTGTCGAGTTTGAGCACTTTATGCCAAGGATACCGAACCATGTTTAAGGACGTCCTACTAGGATGAGACTTGGTTTAATTACAATGTTCAGCCTGAATGTTAAATTTAGCATAACAGAGACGCCCGAGCAATCGCGCAGGGACCGTACGTGTCATCGCCATGCTAGGGGGGTCCGGGGGCATGCTCCCCGTATTTTTTTTTAAAAGAAATGGTGCGAATTTGGCTGCATTCGGTAGCTATTCTGACACATTATAGGAGACTCTTGAATCACCTTTTCAAGTTGTCAAAAGGAACAAACGAACTATGAATAGGAAATCAGAGGGCTGAAAATAGGGCAAGTTTTTTTTATTAAATGTCTAGACATAATGATTATTGCCAAGAACAGAACCATGTTTAAGGAAGTCCTATCACATCAATGCTTAGCTGGAGCCAACCTCAAATCATGCCAGCCGGATGCAATAAATATCGCATGTACTAAAATGCATCATCACTATCTGCTCCACACTTGTTTCTCTCCAGAGTCAGTGATACATGTCAGAGGGTTACGCAATGGAAACTCACGTGCATGTTTTTCCGCGGGGTGAGGTAATCATCGCGATACCGTCGCCGTTGCTGCTTCGTCGCTTGTTCGGTCTCCCGCAGCCAATGATAAAGTACAAGGTGTAATCCAGACCTAGCACTTGGCACAGTTCATCCGATGTTGTGGGCTGCGCAGTGAGAGATAGAGACATTGATGTGGGCGCAGTATATATGAACAAAGATAAATGATTTTGACTGAAGAAACATTAGACTACCTATCATTTAGAAATTAGAACTCTTTCTTGCGAAGAACGGCAGCCAAACTCGAGTCAAAATAAATCTGGTAAAGTGATAAGGTGTGTGAAATCTAGTAGAATGACCAAGAACTTTAGGGTTGGTTCAGGTAGGTAGGTAGATCACACAATTTTTGACAATTTGCTGCAAAGATAGTATAGTTGCATGCATAGTATACAGGTTCAAACATATAACTGAATAATTGCCCAGTAAAAATGTAGCAGAATAATCCCACAAAGAATTTTCGCAATATAATATAATCAGCGATTGACAGTCATACCATCTGAGTGCTGCGAAAATTTTAGCTGCTCACCAGAATTTCTCTATTTGTTGGCAAATCAAGGCAACGATCATGATCGTTGTAAACAGTAAGATTGGCAAAGCACCAAAGTTTCCTCCTATTACTCTAGGAAAATCAAAGCAGTAGATGCTTCATACTAAACCCGATATCGATACCGATTTCACACATACGTCTATAAGATTCCTCAACATTAATTAAGTTAACACCTTTTAACTATTGCGTTATATACATCGCATTATTACGTTTTGTTGATTTTTGCTTTCTGTTGCATGTTAGCAACAGTGAAAAAATTAATTTTTATTTTTCCGGGGCTCTTTTTGCAAACCCCCCCAAAATTTCGGGGGCTACTTTTTCATTTAACAGGGCTCTTTTTCCACTTTCCAGGGCTGTTTCCTCAAATGTACACACAAGCACAGTAGCTAATACACACTTGCGGGGGCGCGCACACACCACACACACGTCACACACACGCACACACGCACACACGCACACACGTCACACACACGCATGCACGCACGCACGCACGCACGCACGCACGCACGCACACACACACACACACACCAATTTAGCAAGCTTGTACAGACAAAACAAAGAACATTCAGTCAATATTCAAGACAGTTATTCATCAGACTGACAGACTAACATGATAATCACAACTCACAAGTCACAACCACAAATGCACCTTGAAGTTGAATAGTGAATACATCACAGGTTCAGCTAAACACAGAACTATTACGGCTAGCGCAAATAGTGTAGTGTCTGCCTGTACGAGCGAGGAGGATCGATTGTTTATACGCGAAGTCTCTTGCGGCTGGCCCGCGTAAGGGCCCTGGAAGCTCAGGGGGTTTGAGAAAGCGGCCCGCGAGGCACGTGTGTATGGCTGTGTACCATCGACGCTGCGTACGGCCTGCTGCCAGGGGTGGCATTGATTGGAAAGTACGGGGGGGGGGGGGGGGGGACGACTTGTTTCAGGTGGTACTAAGTTCACTACTAAAATTGTAGAGGGTTGCATTGCTGGACTATGAATGAGGACAGCAAAACTTTTCGACGGGAATTGACGAAAAAGCTACAATTGGAATGACATACGAGTGTGCGGCCCAGGGCGAAAATATACGTGTGATTTCATTTAGATTTTCCATGGATTACCGATTCTATAATCCTACGGGTCGTTGGTCCCTAGGGGCTCTCACGTAGGGCACGGCCCGCAGCACACCCGCACGCGCACGCATGCAGGCACGACGCGCGGCAGGCACACGCCACAAGCACTGCCCGCAGGCACACCGGCACCCGCAGTACGCACGCTTGGCGCAGCGCACACACGGCAAGCACAGCGCGCAGGACACCGGCAGAACCAACGCCGCGACACGCGAGCACGCAAACCGACGCAGCGGGCGTCTCGGCGCGGACAGGCACACGATTATACGCAGCGGGGCGGGCGGGCGGCTGGCTTTGAGGTTGAATGCAATACAGGGTTACAGTTACACACATGCATGCTTAAGATGGCTAACACTGACAGTTCACACCGTACCATGAATCTTACCGCGCGTGGAACGGCTCTGCCGCAGCGGCAGATGGCGAGAAGCGACGGGAGAGCTGGCAATGGCACGGGGACCAACCTGGACAATCGATTCCAGGCGACTTTTGCTTTTGGGGTCGCTTCGATATCAATGTTTTTCGGGGGCTCTTTTGGCATTTCGGGGGCGAACATCGCCGCTGCCCGTGTATTTTTTTTCCCTGGTTTGCAAATATTGCTTTGGTTAATAAACCAGAATACCGAAGCAGCAGAGTGGTTGTGCCTTGTCGTGCTGATTGGTTACCCTGCGCAGCAGCTGACAGACAAGTTTGCTTCAGGGTCTGAGTATTTCTCCTGCACACTACGCGAGGGGTGCACATCACGGGTATGTCAATGACGGGCCGTCCGGATTATGGACTTCTTGTGCAACATGCAGTGCGAACATCACGAGATAGTCACGTTCGAGAGACTGTATGCAGTGTCACTCTGCTGAAAGCCAGGTTGTCACATTGCCTTCAACATCACCTAATTGGACAATGGCAGAGTGCGTGTGATTACATTAAACAACGCAGCTCACTTTGAACATATTGGTCGGAGTAGCTAAAAGCGGATGGGTTAACACTGTTAAGTGAAGTCTGGCTTAAAGTGGTTGTGGTTATCATCCAGTCGGTTAATGATCACGATGCCATGATTTATTTCAGGTGATTTAGTCCAAGATACCATAACTACATGACCAAATTATTATATTGACAGAATTATTATATACAGAACAATACAGTAGTGTGCAACAATTATCGCTGACACCCAATATCCAAGAATCAGTTTTCAAAATTGCAATAAATAATATGCTTGAAGTTCGTAGAAAACTGTTGTGCCTTCGCCACGTAAGATATTTTTATGCTTTTCCGTGCGGCTCCCATGTACAGTAGAACTGAGCTTGGCAGCCAGGTATGCGTGCGGCAGTATTCTGCAACGTTCTGACTCAGGTTAACGTTTAGGTCACAGATGTACGTGATAAATGGATCGTCTTTGCTGTCAACGTGGCGGAAAGAGGAACACAATTCCCAGAAAGTCGAGCGTCGTCGCACCGTATACTCGTCCGTGAACGGTCGCCGCCGCATTTCAGCCATCTATTGCTACGACATTCCTCTACGTTGTAGGGTTTG